ATACATTTTCAGCAGAAAATTCTAAACATAAATCAGAAAAGGACTATAAAAAAAAATCCATTCCAGATGACAAGAAAGATTGGTAGTAAAAACAGACCAGAACTTCGGAGACTGTCGGGACAAGTAAGGGAAAATTTATAGTTTTTAATTAAATTAGATAGTTATGAGAATGTAATGCAAGTTAAAGACATCAGAAAATACTGAGAAAAAAAACAAAAAAAACACGAAAGATAGCGTCCCAGGTTCAGGTGGAGTTAGCTATTGGCACGAAGGAAGACGACCTGGAGGCGATAACAGAGATGTTCAATAACAACATTCAAACGATACAAGGATCACTCCGGACTAAATAAGTACCGGATCATCACCTTGGAAAATAAATTAAGCAAGGTTCTCAAGAAGACAGCGAATAACAGGATGTAGATATTCCTGAAAGATAATCTCCTACCCAAAGGACGACAGCTACAGACCTAAAAGAGACACCTGGACTAAAGAGACACCTGGACTAAAGAGACACCTGGACTAAAGAGACACCTGGACTAAAGAGACACCTGGACTAAAGAGACACCTGGACTAATAGGGCAACATTTTCCTGCGATGTGTATGACGGGCTCTAAAACTGAATGGACACAGCTGCAGTGGCAATTCGTCTTGAGAATGCTTTCAATCGAGTCAGATATGGAACCCTTCCACGCATGCTGCCGGATATGCAAGTCCGTCTCTAGACAGTCAACTGGGTGGCAGTGGCCCTGTATGAAGCCCTGGGCTTCTGGACTTCAGAGCTATGTACTACCGTACCTGGTTTACCCCAAGCTTTCGCTATCTCTTCTGTACACTTAAAATGTCTATTCCCCCCCCCCCCCGTGTGGGTTCCGGGGCCCCATTGTGGGGAAAACAAGAATAGACTCACTGCCTCCCCAAAAGCATTTCGTAAGAGTCGACTAATTGGGGAGCTTCCTTTGAAGTCGGAGTGCATCTGCCGGTGAGGCAAGGAACCAACAGTCTGTATTCACGAGAAGGAGATCTGTAAAACGGATGCATACGCAACACTCAGGTTCTGGAGCAGAACTGCAGTTCAGTACTGGACGAGCAACCAGAACTTTCCGCCAGAGTGTACAGCTGGTGAACGCGAAGAAGAAGAAGAAATGTCTACGAAGTAGAACTGCGCCACTGAGGCACCAGGGTTGGAATGGTGCTCACTTCTGTAGACAATGTACTGGCATATAGCTTGGGAGAGAGAAAGAGAGAGAGACACAGAGAGAGAGAGAGAGAGAGAGAGAGAGAGAGAGAGAGAGACAGACAGACAGACAGACAGACAGACAGACAGACAGACAGACAGACAGACAGACAGACAGACAGACAGACAGACAGACAGACAGACAGACAGACAGACAGACAGACAGACAGACAGACAGACAGACAGAGCGAAAGAGAGAGAGAGATGACCAAGATGGTGCTATTAATACGAGTACTACTTTTTCGTCTGCTGCGGATGCTGTTTTTATTGCCGCTACTACGACAACAACAACAAATACTACAAATACTTCAACTACTACTTAACTTATACTATTACCACAATCACCATCACTACCATTACTACTACTTCTGCTGCTATGCTGCTCTGCTACTATTACTGCTACCATCACCACTATTGTGTTACGTCTGCTGTTGCTTCTGCATCATCATCATCCCCATTATCATCATTAACCACTTCTGCTGTTAAGCGCTTTGGGGTAAAAGGGGGGGGGGGGGGGATAATTTGTGATCCAATGCACGTTGGCTGCCACTGGCTATTATCATATCGTGAAAGCGTTGTGTCGTTAATGTTTTCGATTCATGTTTTCCGCAGCCGCCCTCTTGCTCTTGTAGCTGATCTTCTGAGATGTAGTGCTTGTGATGGTATTTGATCTGTCCTGCATTCTAACCAGATGGCAAAACCACTTTATCTGCTGTTTCTCGATGAACCTATACAAGGTGTCGTTCCCATAATTTGCCTGATAATTTAATTATTCACTGGATCTCGGATGGTTAGGTTGGCTGATTTTCTCAGGCTCCTCATCTCGCAGGTGGTAATTTTGCGTGTATGGGTTTTAGATAGTGTCCATGTTGGGCACTGGTAGCTTAATATTGGAATGAATATGCTCTTTGCACTCATAGTTATGCTTGGATGTCTCAATAATGGTGATAATTGGAATATCACTTGCTTTCTGACATCTGGTTTCTATTTCTCTGTCAAATCTAATATCTTCTGTGATCATAATTCCTAGATATTTAAACTTCCTAACTTGATTCAGGGCAGAACCATTCAGCTGTATGTGTAGTGGGGCAGAGGTTCTACTAACCTGCATTGTTTCGGTTTTGTTTGCATTGATCTTTATGTTGTATTTACTGCATGCTGAGTTTAACCTGTTAATGTGGTCTTGCAGTCTATCTTCTTTAGGGTAGAACAAGCACTGGTCGTCAGCAAAAAGTAATTCGTTTGATGTGGGTAAATCGAAAACTTCTCCTGATGTGTGTACTTCCTCATGATTATAAAGATCTATAATATCTGTATCAGAACTTGCTTGTTTAGATATTCTGTCTATATACATGTTAAATAAAAGTGAGGAGAGCACACATCCCTGCCACACAGATGTGTGATAAATGAGGATAAGAAAGACAAGATGTTGATAAGAAAAAAAAATCATACAATGATTATTACTGCTGTTGCTGCTACTACTGCTGATACTACACATTAGCTACTACTGCTGCCGCTGATATCACTATCACAAATACTGCTACTGATAACTCTTACTGCTAGTACTGCTGTTATCACAACAATATATAATTCTACTACTACTGCTCCTACTAAAGTCAGCTCTCACATAAGTACTTACTTTTGCTGTTACACTACTCCACTCTGTGAATTAATCTATTGCCGTCTCCACAATGATTCTTTGTTGCAAAGGATCGTCTGCACTCTCCGCCTTTCGTCTTGAGCTTAAACTTTCTCAGACTGCTCTTCTTCACCCTGTTGGCGTTATTGTCCCAATTGAATTGCAGCGTGTACTATTATTTTAGAACTTTATGTCATATAACTGTTCTATTTATCTACTCTTCACTGGTATATTATCTCTGCTATCCCAGACCACCATTCCATTAGTCAGGTTTATCATCCTTAGTCAGATATAGCCGCTTTGAATAAGTGTTTTTTTTTCATCATTTGTTCCACATCCACCACAGAAGTTACATAAAGTCTATCTACCTTTTCCTAGTGCATATTTACAATGTGTGTGCCTTGAGCAGTTGTAATTTTAGATCCGCGCGCCTAGGATCGTTGCCACTATAGATTTTCGCAAATGGAAACTCTGTCACTTTAGAAAATCACTCATTGGAAAACTGTTTTACTTTAAATTGATAATCCCCCCCCCCCCCAACCACAATTGCCCCTTCCACCACTCACACTGGGAGCTGCTAAAATATGATGGAACGACGGTTTGTGTGTGTGTGTGTGTGTGTTAATTCCAGAGTTCATTGATTTTTATTTACTTTTAAAATAGTGTTGAAGTTTTCCCGTTTGTTAAAAATAGAAATTAAACAAACTCTTTTAAAATCATTAAAGCTAAACAATGAATTCACACGACAATAACATGTCTGGACTGTTGACAAAGTGAACAATAATTCACTTGTGGTCTTTTATATTTGCCTAGTGTATAAATCTGGTTTGAGGTTTTGAACCACGGAACAAAATCATGGCACACGGGTGTAAACCGTAAGTGCTCCGTTCTTCTTCTAACTCAAGTCTGAGTCTGAAAAAGATCACTACAGTGCACAGTACAGTACTCGCTCTGAGGCACCGGCAAGGAACCTGAAATACTTTGGGTAGATTGCCACACGGGCGTCCGATCTCACTACCCAGAGACCAAGATAAATTACTAGTCTGCGTGAAAAAAAATCCTAGCCCTTATCGGGGATTGAACCCGGAACCTCTAGCACTCGAGGCGAACACCATGCCTCTAGACCATGCAGCCCCGTCAGAAAAAAAATCAACAATGAGGAAGTCGAGGTCTGATTGTTCGTGAGCGACATATTCTTTCAAGATGCTTACATTTTGACAGATAATGGAAAAGTAAATTACTGTTTTCTAAAGAGGACGCTTGTAATAGTATTGTGACATGTATTGTTGTGAAACAAAGGGCACTGTAAACATTAAATCTTGATGTTTCAGTGTTGTTATTATGGTTCTTCCTGTTGTTACTGTTTTTGATCTCCTTCGTGATGATAATATTGCTGTTGCTCTTCCTCCGCCCCCTTCTACTCATCCACCGACTCAATCTTGTCCATCCTCCTCCTTCTGCTAGTTCTTGTTCTTGTTCTTCTTTTTTATTATAAATATTATTGTTATTATTATTAATATTATTTTTTTTTTTACTTCTTCTTCTTCTTTTTTTTTTTCTTTTTTTCTTCTTCTTCTTCTTCTTCTTCATTTTCTACTTCTTCTTCTTCTTCTTCTTCTTCTTCTTCTTCTTCTTTTTCTTCTTCTTCTTCTTCTTCTTCTTCTTCTTCTTCTTCTTCTTCTTTCTTCTTCTTCTTCTTCTTCTTTCTTCTTCTTCTTCTTCTTCTTCTTCTTCTTCTTCTTCTTCTTCTTCTTCTCTTCGTCTTCTTTTCTTCTTCTTCTTCTTCTTCTTCTTTCTTTCTTCTTCTTCTTCTTTTTTCTTCTTCTTCTTTTCTTCTTCTTCTTCTTCTTCTTCTTTCTTCTTCTTTCTTCTTCTTTTCTGCCGTTTCTTTTTAAGTATGCCACCCCCCCCTAACCCCCCCACACACACACTGTAAGCCTCTTGAAAACATAAGTTTTCTTTTAACTTATTTAGTTAATCATAACTTTAACTTTCAACATCCCTTCTGACTTTCTCATATTGTTCACAACTTTCTCTGATTCCTTTCTCTAAATATGTCTATCTCTGTATCATTGGGTTAGGGTTAAGTTCCGAACTGTTTCTAATTATCAAATATTTTTTCCCCAGTTGTAAATCTGAACAAAGAGGGCACAAACAACAGACCTGAATATTCGAAGACGCTTGCCCTGTTAAAACAAGCAGTTGATCTTGTGATTCATAAATCTCGTAAGTTAATGAAAGATCTTCTCTGCTAATAAAAGTCATGGCAACTTAATGAAAGATCTTCTCTGCTAATAAAAGTCATGGCAACTTAGTGAAAGATCTTCTCTGCTAATAAAAGTCATGTCAACTTAATGAAAGATCTTCTCTGCTAATAAAAGTCATGGCAACTTAGTGAAAGATCTTCTCTGCTAATAAAAGTCATGGCAACTTAGTGAAAGATCTTATCTCATAATGCAAGATCCTGCTTTTTGATAAACGATATTCGTTAATGCAAGATCTTGTACGATGGTGCAGGGTCTCGTATACTATTTCAGTATTTTTGTTCCGGTAATACAAGAATTATACGAGTCCAACATCTCGTATATTAATGCAAGATTTCATATACTAATGCAAAATATTCGCTAATGCAAGATCTTTTCTGTATCTTTGCTAATATAAGCCGTTGTTTAATAATGCAAAAAGATTTATACTTAGACGGGATCTCGAACGTTAAGGCAAATTGCTTTCATGCTAATGCAAGATCGTATATGTTGCTGGTCTTATATGCCAATGCAAAATATTCTCCTCTTTTGCAAGCTATTCTATATCCATGTAAGGTTTTGAAAACTAATGCAAAATGTTTTATGCTTATGCAAGATATTATTTATGCAAATGTAAAATCGTGTATAGAAAAAAACATTTCTGGTTGACCACTTGTTGTGACCACTGAAAAGATCTAACGAAGGAGGGATAGAGGAAGACAACGAGAGATGATTCTTGATATTCTTGTTGCATGGCATGGAGGTGTGTCGGCACACGAATTGATACATGCTGCAGATTTTGTAGAGACATGATCGCCCACGATAGTCGGCCAGGCACCTGATGATGACGATGATGTTTACTAATGGTAGACTAGTCAATTTATTTTATGCCAAACTAAAATATTTTGTGCCAAAGCTATTTATTATATGCTAATCCAATATATGGTTACCTAACGCAAGATGACCTCCGCTGATTCAAGATCTTATATGCAAACTGCGTCGCATTTTACAAACACAAGGACATCATATGCAATAAATGTCTGTCTTGGAGATTAGAAAATACAAATCTGTTACATAAAACCAGACTTAAATCATGACGGTGAGAAGCCGACAAATAATAAACATGACGGTGGGGGAGGGATCAATTAACGTCGGCGATATTTGGTTTGCAAACATATGTTCACACTTACTTCAACAACGGAAAAAAAGAAGGCAAATTTTTTTTTTAGATGGCAAAGACTTTTTCTTCTTTTTCAAATCAGCTAAAAAAAAAGGCCAGTGATCATATCCGTCTTTTTAGGCTCAAATACAAGTTGTCATCATAGAAACAGTATTTTTTTTTTCATTGATAGATCAAGGCTTAAAAAAAAATCATATGTTGCGAATCCTTTACTTTGCAGAACCATCTTTAGCACTGTTCTGACTGTAATTTTAATAAGCAATGCTATGTAAAAACTGTATACGCAAGGGAGCTGAATGGTTGCAGACCACGAGGCAGACCAAGAAGATCGAGTAATAACGTTCAACAGACCTGCAAACACTTATTGTCACTAACTGGAAAGGGTCAACCAGAGAGATGAGTGGAGGCTGGTGATATCTGCAGCAATGAACCTCAAAGGCTCAGAATGATGAAGCAGAGAAAGAAGAATGTCATGTTCACTAGTCTGTCATTGCTAATGAATAGCCGGGAGCTGCCGTGGTGTAGCAGCTAGGAGATCCCTTGCGGGTCAGAAGGTCGTGTGTTCAGATCCTGACCATACTTGCCTATTTCCCTTTAAAAAATGACCTCGGTTCCTTGAGAGCGCATTCGCAAGGCCTACAAAAATAGAAGTTAAATTGTAACTTTTGCTATTACAAGATATCAACACATGACCCTCTTATAATATTTTAGAGCTCAATAAAAAATAAAAAGAAAGACGTATGATCGTCCATGACAGTCAACAGCTTGCTTTACGATGGTGTATATTAAAAAAGTAAATATAAAGGGCCCTTTTACACGCCCTAAGGCGTAATGGGCAAAATTATAGATCTGTATAGTAAAGACTAATAGGTACTCACTGCGTTATATATTGTCAATATTAAACCGGCCGCCTTTACTTCCCATGACTGTACCTGGTACCCATTTAAGCCTGAAACTACCCGGGAGCCAGGACCCGAACAAACAAACCTTATGATTCCCAGGCGAGCGTATAAGGTATATTATAAAGTATTTTTCTTAAATATATTTTTTTAATAACTTGTAAAACAATATCCAGTTCTGCCAGAAACCTCGTGCACTTTTCCATCTTGCGACATCCCACCTCCAAACTGTCAGGTAGTCAACGACGCCAAAGGATGTCCAACCTGCAACTACATCTGTCGATATGGCCAACGAGTATGTCCGGAAATACGGTGTGGAAATACATGCGCAGAGGGGTAAGTGCTATTTAATTCCTATTTGTAACCGACCTTACAACAATATTTCTGTTATGCCAGCTGCTATATCTTAGGGCGGTGAAATAACGAGGTATTTTATTTCTCAAAACATTATTAAGTTCCAGTTCAGTTCTGTATTTTTATACGAATAACATTCTGCGTTTCTAGCTCTTGCAGTGGCCAGGCGTGCATGAAATGTCAGTGATCTGTACACTCTTCTACCCCCCCCCCCCCCCCCCCCCCCAAAAAAAAAAATCTGCATTATTTTACTTTTTTTTTTACTGTTTACTATTTATTACAAATACGCAATTCAGTGTACGCCTGGAACGTAGTGAAAAGAGCGCTTGCTGCATGCTTGCGCTACTTATGCAGACATTGTAACGTGTGAAAGCTACAAGCTGCTAGCACTACGACACAAGGTGCGCACGCATATTCTTTGTAACCTAGCTACGAGAAGAAAAATATTACATGATACTCTTTGAGGAGCAGTTTGTTAATAATTTAGATTTTAATTTTGTTTTCTTTCTAAATGGGACATTAAAGGATATTTTGTGTGACTTCTACAGGCACCGGAACAGAGCAGATGTGGGCTGACGAGTCTGCAGTGGTAAAAGAAACTAGACTAAATAACTAACTCAGTAATTTATTGCATTCTCTCCAGACAGGTTGAAGTCTAAAGGGGCCAACTTTAGAGTCCGAAGGTTGTAGAATAATGATATGGAGCAGAATAAACTAAACCACACGTGTTAGTTGGCAGCTTTCCGTCTTTACATGCATCAATGTCGTGTTTGGCTATAGGGAAGGGCGAGAATCACAACCCGTGGTACAAGATTAAAAAAAAAGTTAGTTGCGTATCCTTTACAGAACGTTGCAGAACCAACCCTAACAGCCCCTGGCTGTTGTGTGGTTTCTCTTGGCAAATTTACGTCCAGTAGTTTGCCATTGCTTACTGGACGGTCGGCTTTCTTGATACCACTGTCGAAACCAACGCAAGGCGCATTGCCCGCAACTGGGATCGAGCCCGGCATCGCGGCATTTCGAAGCGAAGAGTTCGCATCGACAGAGCCGACGTGGTACCAGATACACTTGCGTTAAGAAAGGTCTTCCACAGCTAGGGGCGTGGGTTTTCAAGAGTTTCAGTCGCCATCGCTTGTATTGACGAGCTTCTTCACAGTGGCTCGGCTGTTTAACCTTTCAGCACTATCCTTTTCTTTTATGTCCCCCTTTTTTTTTTCTTATTTCCTACCTCCATTCAACACTGTCCGTGGTACGTTTTCATGAATCCATCCCAGCACATGTATCATTTATTTTCCGCTTTCAAACCAAGTCAGAGACAATGATTCAATATATTAATTGTCTGAGACAGAGGAATCTCAGAAAAGTATACTTTAGTTGGACAATACAGAATGAATTGGCTAGAAAATAAGGAAACGATTTTTTCCGCCGCCTTAGAGCATGTTAGTTATAATTTTTTTAATGAACCAAGCGACACACGCTCGAAGGTGTAGTGAGTACATTCACAACTGCATGTTTTTTTTATTATAAGTCCGGTTTTTACTTTAGGCTTTGGCCCACCTATCAGGCCAGATTATTTTAAATAACAGTTCGATGAGCGTTCGGCAGACATTTCTATGATATATAAAATATAAGCTTATAGAATGTCCAATACCCTAAAACTTATGAAAATTGCATGGTGCCATTTATTGTGAGGTTGCATCGATCTCAAAGCCAACCTGGTTGCAAAAGTTATCACCAGTTCTGGAGATTGATCCATCTCAGCAGCCATGCGAACTAACCATTTTGCCGCCCCAGCTTCATATTTAAGTGTATAGCCTTTACAAGATGTCGCACAGGACGCCCCAGAACTTGATGGCTGTTTGAGATTTTACTTGACTCTTCAACATTGAGTAGCTTAGCACTGCACTCGACCGCCGACTACCCATTTCGCTGTTGAAATGAACATAGAAACTGCTGCCAAATGATCATCAGCTGAATCTGACTGTGCATTCCAGAATTGCAAATCAGGTTCACAACGCCAGACAACAGACGCTCACATATTTAGACGTAAACACTAAAGCTATCATAAAGCAACAGCTAGTCACACATAGACTCAAGAGAAAATAAAGCAATGAACAAGTAACAGAATGAACAGTTACAACCCCACAAACATATTTGACGAACCACACATATCGCTTGCAAACATGTCGATTGTTGACCAATGTCTCTGTAAGGAATCACTGATACACTTGAAGTTAGAACAAGTGGGGAATAAAATATGAACAAAGAAGACACAAACAATAGATTGCACAATTTATTGCCTGGCGTATTTCGATGTATCTCGTCAGGTGCATACTACAGTAACAATTACATAAATGAAGCAAATAAGTGAATCCTTTATAACTGAAGTACAATTTCAACAACGATCAAACATGACTGCTTGTTTTTACCGGGGCAGCCTTAAAGACAGAACCACCTCTTTCTGATTACAGAGTTCCGGGTGCAGGGGACGCATCGCGGAAGCTTCGTGCAATCTATTGTTTGTGTCTTCGTTGTTCAAATTTACAAAGGTTAAACATTGCTTTAAAACAAAAGTGACAGCAAAATTTAAAAGGTGGATCTAATTGCTGTTATATTATAAGTTGGTTCTGAATGCTAGAAAAAAATTAATATTATTATTTTTATTTTTTTCACTCAATTTCGAGATTCCGAGATTTCGTTGGGAATTCCCGGGAAAGTCCAGTAGTATAGATGTGTTGGGGTGAGAAATTGACACCGACTAACACAACCCTGTACCTCCCTCTTCCACCCCAACCCTCTCCTCCTTTCCCTATAATATTGGACTTTGAGAAAATATTTGGTTGCTACAAATTATGCATGAAAATAATGTAGTGACTCCCGTAAACGAGCTTCTCCATAATATTTTGATTTAAAAATAATATGGTTTCATCTGCCCAATGAAGTTTGGCTACAGTTCACCCAGTGCTTTCTCTGGGAAGATTATGTGTTGAGAACCCAGTCTCTTTATTGGTGCTATTTAGGCAATACTGTCCGGAAACCACATACAGTTTTTTTTTTCTTTCTTTAAAAAAAAAAAAAAAAAAACTGTTTGAAATAAACCGCCCTAGTTTTCCAGGACCATGATTTTTTTTTTTTTTGCACGCCTTCACTTACATCAAAGTCACAGAGCCTTGAAATATATCCTCACAAAACTGGTGGCAAGTGCGGAGGTACCCGTGGCTGAATAGCTAAACTCTTTGTCTGGCGCTCATGGTCATGGAAGAAGGTCATGGGTTAGATCTGGTAGTACGCAAGATGCTCTGTACCGGCACTTTCTTATACATATTTTTTTTCCAGCTTGCTGTAATATACATTTTGTGATGACTACCTAGCACCGTTTGAAACACTTTGTTGTGAGCACCTGCCTCTTTTGTTCAACATCCACCCCAGTCTGATTCTCATCCGTGAGGTGGTAATCCTACAGACAACAATCCCCGAGAGCTACAAAGACTACCTGATCTTGTCGACCTATCTTAAACGTTATGTTTAAACTATGAACAGTTACTGACCTCCTTTTCCATATATTTGACTCCGACAATCTAAACCTATCATATACGCATGAAACAAAAATGGCAAGAACAAGGAAGTATTTAATTTCTCGTCTGATTGTAACATTTTTCCCATATGTAAAATTGATTATCTCGGTTTTCTGTGTTCTAGTTTACATGAACTTAAAATAGTGTAATTAGAAAGTCTAGCTGGGCTACTAGAGATGTTTGTTTACAGAGGAATAGATAGTATTTTGGGGACATACTAAAGTAAAGTTCAGGTGTCATATGAAATAAGAGTTTATGAAAGGCATAACAGGGAGAAGTGCAATGCGTCTTCCATTTTAAGAGAGATATCATCATCATCATATGTCATGCCTATACAGCGTAAGCTTTATGTGCTACCATATTACACGATAACTAGAATACGGAACAGGTCAGTGTTCTTGTCTGGCCTAATCCATGTATCCAAGCCAGCCAGTATTTTTTTACCAGCTCTTTTGTCATATGTTTGTCATCAAGTTATTAGGGATTTTGTGACACATCAAACTAAATCCTCTTGGATCTCACAGTAAGTAGCTGAAATAATAAGAGAACGAAATAGGACACATACAAATAAGGACATAATCCCATACCGGAGTCTGCGAAACCACATCCAGTACGCCATTCGTAAAGAGAAAGGGAACTTTTTTAAACAACTAAAGTAGAACCTCGCTTAACGAGCACCTCTCATAACGAGTAATTCGCATAACGAGCAAAACAAATTGTAAACGAATGAATCGCTTAACGAGCGACGTTTCACATAACGAGTGGGGAGGAGAGGGGAATTCCCTGATTTTGAGCATGTTACATCAATGTTTAGCACTTGTTCCAGAAGCATTGTCGCTTGTGATCACACATTTTCTCAAACTTGTGTTATATTGAGATATATGTACATGAATCCTCCTTGCCTACAAGATGACCTCCCTGGTGAATTTAAGTTAATCAAGATCCAGTTTCTGCCTTCCAACACCACTCCGTTACTCTAGCCAATGGACCAGCAAGTGATTTCTAACTTTAAGAAGCTCTACACTAAAGCACTCTTCGAGCATTGTTTTCAGGTGACTGAAGGGACAAACCTCACTCTCAAAGATTTCTGGAAACATCACTTCCATATCGTTGCCTGCCTCAAGATGAACGACAAGGCGGGGGAGGGGGTTACCAAGAGAATCATAACCTTTTTTTTTTTTTGGAGGAAGCTTTGGCCGGAGAGTGTTGTCGATTTGTGACTTTGTGGGGTTCGAGACAGTACCTGTGGAACCTGTAGTCAACGAGATTGTGTCTTTGACCACTATCATGGGATTGTAGGTTTATAACAGTGATATCGAAGAGCTTGAGGAAGAGCACGCCAAGAGCTGACCATCGGAGAGCTTATGGAGTTGCATTGTGTTTCACAGCAAGAAGTTTTAGAGGAAAGTTTGTCAGAGGAAAAGGAGGTATCAGAAAAGCAACAATCTTCTGGCGAAAAAGGAGAAATGCTGAAAGCATGGGAAACTGTTGCTTCTCACATTGAGAAGCATCACCCTAATAAGGAAGTGGCTATGCGCGCTGCAAATTTAATGATAATGCTGTGTCGCATTCTCGCCAAATTTTGAAGCGTCGACAAAAGCAAATGTCTCTAGACATTTTTCTAGTAAAAAAAATAATTAGCTATGTATCATAATTATTTCGACTTTTTTTTCCTGCAAATCGAATTTGCATTCCACGTGGGTTCGTTCCGCGTTTGAAGAAAAGATGAAGATGATTCATTCTCCCTAAATATGTATATAATTTTCTTTGAATAAATGTTTTAGTATAACTTATACATTGCCTTTTGTGAGTATTTTTTTTTTCGACATCGAACGCATTATCGTATCTTACATTAATTTATATGAGAAAAATTGTTTCGCAAAACGAGTGTTTCGCTTAACGAGTATGATTTTGGAACGAATTAAGCTCGTTAAGCGAGGTTCCATTGTAATAGTAGATAAAAGAAACAGCAAAGATATATGGAAGGAAACTTATACATTGACAAACAAAGGTACTTTAACGCGTTTGCCGACTTCAAATATATCATCAGATGATTTCAGTAATTTCTGTGAAGCCGGTATAGAACAGTTAAAAGCCACAATACCAAACTGTCCTTGTGATTTATCCCTGCTTACATCATTTTGCGAAAAGAAATGCACTGAATATATTCCTTCAGATACACCTCTCATGTCTTCTTCTATTTCTTCTGCCTTTCTAGCCCATGTGGAGCATAGGCCCTCAACCAACTCATGCCAAGTCATTCTATCTTTTGCTATCGCATGCAACTCTCCCCACGTCCTCCCCATCTTTCTAACATCATTCTCCAGCTCCGTTATACGTTTTTTTTTTTGGGGGGGGGGGGGGGGCTTCTTTATCCTGATGCTCCTGTGGGTTGCAGTGCAAAGACATTGTAGTTATATTGCTCTCCAATTTTCAATTTGTGTCCTATCCAACACAAGCGACCTTTTTTTTCCACTTCCATATGTCGCTGAGAATTTATACATCTCAACAGTCTCGAAAACAGTGACACGTCCGGTTTAGACGGAATCAGCGATAGGATCCATTTGCAATGCTGCACCAGTTATTGTTCCATTCTCAAACAAGACCTTGTGATATCATATGCAAGGCTTTGCTGCACTAGGCGACGTTTATTCGTCTTTGCTATAAACCCTCCATGCACTTGGTCTGCCCCTCAACACAGAGCCATCTGTACAGATGCAAGTTCTGGCAACAAGAGCAAGTGCACAACTAAACATCCGTCAGAGTTCACAGGTGAATGCATAGATCGCGAAGAAGAAGATGATCCCTGTTTGTTTCGAGCTTTCCCTATCAAACATGTTTGCTTGTGAGTTTTCTGTGTAATTGTAAACCCTTCTCTATGAGTTATGTTTGATTTGTTTTTTTTTTTTTTATATTTTTGTACACTGTTCAAACTTTTTCTATGAGATACGACTAATTTCCCTTTAGATGTTTATTTGCATTATCTCAGCATAATTTACTTTGTACTTTTACCATTTGGGGGTCCCAGTAGTTTAACGGCTAGACGCTCAGCTGCTAATCCGATTGTCGTTGGTTCTAATCTAATCTAAGCAGGATTTTTTAAAATGATGACGTTGGCTCCCATATCAACCCAGCTATAACATGAATACCAGATAACAGTAATGGGAAGTAAAGGAAGCCGTTGTGATTTTGACCGCATGACCCACCAAGTGCCGATTGGTCTATAAAATATAGATTAGCCCTATATACCCTATAGTTCTAAAGACGTGGAAAAGGGTCGTTTTATTTACTTTACTATACTACCAAAACACTTTTACTTTACAATTTACAACTGCAGTTTATATCTGTTTTACTACATGAAATTTCCACCTGCTGAATGCATATTTCATAATGTGTCTGTCAGGTACGCCATGGATCGCAAGGGCTGCCAAACCTGCTACTGTAAAGTCCCTCTGTACCAACCCCCTCCAGCTCCGCCACCATCGTTTGGTTGCCCAAGGATGTGCCCAGCTGGTACGTGTCCAAACAGTTGTGTCTGCCAGCCTTACTGTAACAGCTCAGGAACCCAAGCAAGGTTTGTCTCAGAGCCCGAGGAACCCAATGAAATGTAAGAAGTTATCGCAACTTGTGTATCTAATATATATGATCAGGTCTTGGGCAAATGCGACTGAGCTTCCGTATAACAGTAGCCGGCCGGTGCCATCTGTCTTCTGTTAAGGCAAAATGTTGGGCGGCATATGGCGAACCTGAAATACCATCTTTAACAAGCGGCTTTGGCCAGAGGAGCGCATTGGGGACGATACAAACCTTATCCTAGGAAGCGGAAATACAACCTGAAAACTTCATGTTATGGCAGCCCCGACCAGGCCCCTAATCTTGGCTGGCAGCTGGTCTAGGAGGGAAGCTCTGACAGTCGGACAGATAGAGCACTGTTTTTCTGAAACTGCAGCTTCCGCAGCTTTATGTGTTTGAAACATACTGGTGTTATCTTTCCTTTCAAAAAGACAATGCAGGTGGAGAGAGGGATCATGATGCGTAGGCATCGTATGGTCTTTACAATATTTCCCAGACTGTGCTATTTTGAGGATGATATAATGAACAAAACAATCTAAATGACAATAACAACTAGTACGCTTCGCTATAAAACACAGACTGCATATGAATGATAAATTGACAGTTGTGACTAGAAAGCCTTCAAGAGTAATGTCACATAACCTTTACCTTTATGACGGGTCTTTAGCGCAACTAGTGCGCAGAATATCTGACGACCAAGGCGTTTACTATGACCCGCCTGGCACTTAAAAAAAAGTGATGCTAGTAGTACCATGCCAGCAATCAGTTCTCCATAGCCATGTCCAGGATATGGGAGTAGGACCTGTGCCAGTGGGGCATGAACATTTCAATCAATCAGTTCAATCAGGTGTCCTTTCCACAGTGTAGGTTGGCTGCAGTGGATCTGTAACAACGCTCTGTCTCTTCTCCTGGTTGAACACTACCAAACTGCTGCCAGTCCATTTCTGCATGTTGTTCTCCTACTTGTCAGCGTTCCATCAATGACAAAAGACATTTCATTAATTAACACCAAACGGGCATGATCTGTCGTTTTAGTTTTGTAGAGCTATTGAGGAGAAGTAGATCAAAGTACCATAAATAACATTAAGCCTTCGTCAGCATACGGTACACACGGTCAGTGATGCAGTTAGATAAAGTAATATATAAAATATAGTGTCTTTCAGTGAAGCTATCAAAATGTCCAGCGGAAATACAGCAAAGTCATTTCAGTGGTACTTTATAATACGTTGGCTTTGGTATACGCTTAACTTTGTATACGTCATGTTAAGACGTGAGAACTTTTTGCTTCGTATACGACCTTTGTCTGGAATACGAACTTGTAAGACTCAAAATATCCACAACACATCACACTATCCTAGCTTACCTCCCCTGAGCCGCAGCCACAGATACATGTCGGTGACTTGGCAGAGAAGTACCACCCCAACAAAGTCTAAACAAGCCCTAATAGCACTGTCAGAAATAACCAGACAATGTCACATTTCTGAAACACCATGAGGAGAAGGCAGAAGCAAAGCTCTCTGGGCAGATGTTTAGTAAAAGTCCAACCTGACGAGCCTCAGCCAGGTCCACGTAACGAGATGAGAGAGAGAGAGAGAGAGAGAGAGAGAGAGACAGACAGAGAGAGAGAGCGAGCGAGAGAGAGAGAGAGAGAGAGAGAGAGAGAGAGCGCGCGACACACACACACAGACACAAAGCAGAAAAGAAACCTGGGTTGAGCTGGTAGCCAGGGTCACTTAAAAAAAAAACCCGGCTCTATAAGGACCCGAACCCACAACTTTCCGGTCCACAGGCAAGCGTCTAAACCCACTAGGTCAGTGCTGAAATGAAACTACTGGATAGTAAAAGCAGTAGATAGGATTTTTATTGGATCCTTTTTCAAGAAGCCACTTGTACATCAAAACATGGGTTAGCACCATAGTCCTGGTGCGACAAAGGCGTGGCAGTCGTCCTTCACCTTTATCTGTTACAATATTTACTTGTCCAGTACATGTTGGCATCATCTCATAACTTTGTCTTTACCCGCGTTTGTTATCGTGATCTTACAACATTGACTCTTCCCATATTTTTGGCATGATCTTACAATGTTGACTTTTCCCAAGTCTACATTATCTTACAACATTGTCACCATCGTCTTCCTTCCGTGTTTGTTGGCATCTGCTTACAACACTGACCTGTCCGGTGTATGTGGCATGATCTTACAAAATTGTCGACATCGTCTTTTTCTCTGTGTTTGTTGGCATCTTCATTAAACACTGACCTGTCTAGCGTATGTGGCATACTTTTACAACACTAACTTGTCTGGTATTTGCATTATCTTACAATGTTGACCTTTTGCGTTCTTGTTGGCATCATCTTGTGACATTGGAGTTTCGTTTTATTGCTGGTCCTGTCGTACAACATTGAATGCCATCCTCGTTTGTTCCTATCATTTTACAACATTTATCTTTCATGTGTTTGTTCATATCATTTTACCAATTTGCTAGTTTCCGTGCTACATCATATCTTATTACATAACATCGAGTTTTCTCATGTTTATCAACATTTAATCAACATGGTCTCTTTCCAATTTCTTCCTTTCAGTTTTCAAGATTGTCTCTTTCCGTGTTTGTTCATATCAGTTTACAACATCAACTATTTCCCGTGTGTGGTCTTATCAGTTTACAGGAGTACCAATTTTTTTGTGTACTTTCTTTTCAACAGGAATGCAGGCAAGTGAGTGGATGTATCTGTCCTCCGTTAGCCACTGGCGACTGAAAAAAAGGCTAATATCACAAGTAGACCCTGTCTTCACAGATTCGTTTGAAAGATACTTTATTAACAGAGGGGTGGAATACATTTTTTTCGAACATTATACATGTTTGTTTTCCGTTGTCTTTGTTGTCTGCTATTGATATTTGATGTAAAACTCTTCACATTGAAGTCTCTGTTTCCCCATTAGCTCACAGGAAAAACTGACTTATTTTTGCCCTATAGGAAACCACTGACAGTGTTTGGGAAGTATTCGTGATCTTGTGAAATAGTTATCCCTCATTGGATATAAGGCCACAGTTCCCCCTTGTGAGTTCCGGAGTCCCATTTAACAGAAAGATAGACATACTGCTCCCAAATAAGCGTTTAGAGAAAAGGCGAAAATTTATGGGTTTTCTAAAATTGTGCTTGGCTGAAAGTAGTGAAAATATGGGGGTGACTGCAGTCAAGCTTATAAAAGGGATTCCAGAGAAATTTTACTAAAAAGTTCAACTAAATGGAGAAGCAGAAAAACGATAACAAAACAACACAACGTAACGTTTCGACCGGGCAGTCCTTTTCAAACATTAGTGAACTACACAAACGTAACAACCAGGAGAGGAGAGTATGTAGATCTTTAAGTGGTGACGTGAGCAACGTTTAAAAAAATGTAATGTCGAATAAATGAAAAAAAAAAAAAATAAACGATGATTAAAAAATATAGTCACAAAACAATAATGAACAGTAGTATTGTTAATATATAATATAACACTGGGAATAAAAGAAATACAAATGTTAAGGATACATAAATGATACTGATAAGAAATAGAATAAAGTAATAATATGAAATTTAAAAAAAGAAAAGAAAATAAATAACATTTAAAATGTAATAAGAGTAGAACTATTTAGATGAAGGTATGTTGGATATTGATACCACCTGGACTAAGAACGCCTAAGCTGTGGATGAGGCGGTTTTCCAAAGCGAGGCGCGTAGTATGATCGTCAGAGCAAGATTTTAATGCTGTGACAGATATATCATCTTTACCTCTGTGGTCAGAGCTATTAAAATGGAGAGGGATTGGTTTAAGTGTCTTCTTGTCAATATCGGAGAGGTGTTCCCGGAAACGATCAGCTAGCTCCCTACCAGTTTCCCCAATGTATGCATTGCTGCATCGTTTATTTTCTTTTCTTTTATTATATTTCATGTTATTAATTTATTCTATTTCTTATCAGTATCATTTATGTATCATTAACATTTGTATTTCTTTTATTCCCATTAGTATATTTTAAATTAACAATACTACTCTTTATTATTATTTTTTTGTGTGGTGACTATATATATTTTTTACTATCATTTATTTTGTTTTATTTCATTTATTCCACATCACATTTTTTTTAAACGTTGCTCACGTCACCCCTTAGAGATCTACACTCTCCTCTCCTGGCTGTTACGTTTGTGTAGTTCACTTATGTTTGAAAAAGGCTGCCCGGTCGTAACGTTACGTTGTGTTGTTTTGTTCATGTTTTTCTGCTTCCCCATTTTGTTGAGCTTTTTAGTCTAATTTCTCTGGAATCCTTTGGCTGAAAGTAGCAGATATTGCAGCTTAGCTTCAACTTTCAAGTCAGCAGACAGTAGTTTTGTGTAGTTATGTGTAAATTATTGAACCGCAGTGACGAAGGATCTTGTACAATTCCTACCAAGAGAGTAAATTTAAAAAAAAAAAAAATAAAAAGAGTAAAGTCAACTTGCTCACGCTCTGGGGCATCGTGGATATACAAAAGCACTAGATGTATATTTTAATGAGGACTGGTCTAGAAAATACAGATCTAGCACAATATAATCTATACGCTAGCAGGTGTCTAAAGGGGTCCCTTACTCTACTATGAGTACATTTTTTCTAGAACAGTCTACACTGAATGCGCCCTCATCCACACAGGACTACAGGTCACGCCTAGCTGGTGTAAATGTTACGGATGCCCTAATTATAACCGCGCGTTTGGAATCTGCCTTGTTGGTCTGCTGCCCAGAATGAGCTGATCTAATCTCAGGGATGTATGATAAACCTTTCGGTAGCAGCATGCAAGGAATAAACCGATCGATCGATCCAAAGACTAGGGGTAGTCGATGGCTGATGGGTTAATGTCATATCGGCAACCTTAATTTCTCAAGTTATCATCCGGTTTGCTTTGTCAAATACAGTTATCAATTCAAAAAAATTAACGCTTGAATTATAAATGCAATATTCGTTTATACAGTACATACATCCCCCCCCCCCCCCCAAAAAAAGGACGTGATGTTATTTGAAACTTA